CGGGGGAAGTGACCAAGCAGCTGTGTGGTGCTCAGTTGCTGGCTGGGGTTAAACCACAACAATCAGTTATTTCAATGGAACATATATTGCAATCACACTTTCCTGGTTGTTGTTCTACTGGGGTGCGTAATAAATGTTGTGAGATATTGTGCAAGAGAATGAACAATACTTTGAACTAAATGTGCTGTTAAATTAAAGTCTTTTCTTGAGCAGTGAAAAAGTCCCGAGGCTTTTCATGTCAGTGACATAAGGCAAGGCATACACTGAGAATTTTTTGTTTTTCATCCTTTTGAGAAACATAGCATGATACTGAAGTAAAAGCAAATAACAATTTCTAACATTGCAAATGTTCAAAGATACCCACCACAAAAACCCAAACACGACCCTCTCCCCACTGCCCCCAAAAATGTAAGGGGGTTCAGTATTTAAAGGTGTCAATTCTTTTGTGATACCATTATGGAAAATCAGGTGGCAATATCTCAAACCTTGCCAAATTATCCCAGAAAGAAACATTGTGAACTGTTCAAAGAGCTTAATGCGCATTTTTAAATTAATCCCAGTGTATAATTTCCTAAAGGATGGGATCCAATTCTATTTTGTGCTCTGAAGAATTCTATTAAACCTTTAGAGCACTTTGTGAAATGTGAAAATGCAGTTTGCTAAAGAGATAGTCTAGGTGGTCTGCAGTAAATTAACCCAGTACTGCTGACTGTGACCATTCTTGTGAGTTTGCTCCAAGGGATTTCTACGCTTACAGTATAACACCATTTACCAGCTTCTAAACTAGATTTGCCCTCTGGCTGCCAGTCAACAGACCTTGGTGTAAAACATGGCCAGAAATTAGTCTGACTAAGACTTGCGTTTCAAGACCAGAACAGTGCTGTGTGTTACATACAACTAAGTCCAAACCATTACTTACAATACTGTTGTTTTTCCCTAGTGGATTTCACGTAGTCAAGTTTTAGCCCGCTAGAATACGATGGCTGCTGCCCTGCCTAGCTGGTGTTCCACGTTCAGTAAATTACAATAGATCTCTCTCTGTGTTGCTTTGTAACAATTAACCTCAGAAAGGAGCTAACTCCATTTGCATGGTAATGAGACATTCATCTGAGCTACATCGGAGTTAAGCACGCTAATAAGTTTTTATGCAAACACCTGAGGGGTCAAGCACAACAATGGACTTGGATAAGAAAACCTTTTATTAAATGCAAATCACTTTTCTTGTAAATACTATGACAGAGAACTTCGTAGGACTCTAACACAGCTTGCAACAATGGAGTCATTTAGGTTATATTTTCAGGCCCCCAGGCTGGCTAAGGAATATAGCCACCGATTTATTTATATTTTGAATTAATATCAGTGTGGATAAAATCTTCATTATAGCATCAAAGGAGAGAAGTACTACAGGAAGGCAGAGAGGAGAAAACAACAATATTGCCTTATCTTTCACAAATTTGTCACAGTTTCCTGGGATGCAGGAAGGCAGATAAGACACTGCTGCTGTAGAGTACAACAAAAGACTTACAAATTTGTCAGGTTTCTATCTTATTTGCCTATTTGGTTTTGCCAAGTCTATTTTTATGTAGGCAAATTTCCTAGTGAGCAGGCTATCATTTTGGTCTCTATCTTGCACTAAGACTTCTTGAATTCATTCGATCAATTCACATTCTACACTCAACGAGTTTGAGATCTTAGTTAGGACAACCAGTACCAAACATTACCAAGGGGATAACTGGCTGCCAAACATCTTTGGGTCTAAAGGAGCAGAACCTGGACAGGATTTCTCAAAGACAAGGCAGATTGCAC